TATGGAATCCGATAGATCCAAACCGCACTCCCTACTCCACGCCATGTGGTCCCCTAAGATCCATCGACCACCGAAATTGTCACTGTACCCCACCTCCGCATTGATGCTTAAATACTGGGATAGGCTAATGGCTACTATAACCGAAAAAGGGAAATTCTGCCTACAGGCCCCGATTGAAGCTTTGACCAGACTGACACCTTGGTTGTCCTTAAAGACCTAGACCAAGTATGGAGTGAAACTTATCCAAGACATATGCACACAAAAAGGAATCAAGCCATTCCCAGCCCTGCAAATACAATATAACATACCTAACTCTTGTATCTTTCAATACTTACAGGTAAAAAGTGTCATCTCCACTCACGTAACCTTGAATCCCCAGATCCAACCATATAGACTAACAGACATGACAGAGATCTTTTCCAGATGCCATACGTCTCCACTAAAACCCAAAGCCCTGTCGCTATGCTATAGGACCACACTTGACTATAATACCCCCCGCTCATTCTCCTATGTACAAAAATGGGAAAAAGAGGGAATACCTACACTCACGGACTCACACTGGCTTTCGGCGCTCACTGCTCTCTCAGGCCTCACCTCTTGTTTCTCACACGTGGAAGCACATAAAAAAGTGTTATACAGATGGTACCTCACGCTCCAAAGGCTTCACCAAATATACCCCAACACAAACTCAACATGCTGGAGATGCTTGTCAGACACAGGCACCATGATGCACGTATGGTGGGAGTGTAAAGAGATTTCACCACTCTGGTCACAGGTTCACTCACTTCTGCAACGACTACTCCATCTTCAAGAACCCCTAACGCCGACACTAACACTCCTACTGATCTTCCCTACACAATGGAAGAAAGCAGACAAAAAGATAGCATCCTTAATAATTCTAGCAGCGCGACATCTCATAGCCCAAAACTGGAAAACCACCAGTTGCCCTTCCCGAAAAGACCTACTTGATAGGATAACTCTTTATTACAAATTTGAGCTATTAGCTTCCACCTCCCACGAGCTCACTGCACAGATTATTAAGATCTGGAAGCCATTTGTAAAACTGGCTCACCAAACCTCTTGATAGATGACAATAACCTAAGGCTTCCAAGGTATAACAAGTTTAATTGGTATAAAACGGAAATGTAGGGTGACTTCCCTTAGAGCTGGACATATGTGGGAACACTATTGCTCTACTAACATGTTATATTGCCTTATACTATTTGTAATACCTTCCACTATTTGGAAGTTGTATTGCCTTATACTATTCGTATTATCTTATACTATTCGTATTACCTTATACTATTTGTATAACTTTGTTATTGACATGTATAAATCGATTACCTTGAATGTACCGATCCCCTTCCCCACCCTCTTCTTTATTCTGTACCCTTCTACCCCCACTCTCTTGTTAATATCTGAAAACTCGAATCTTCAAATTCGAGAAATAAAAATTTTCAATTGAAAAAAAAACAAACAAAAAATTTTGGTAGAAAATGTAGTAAATCAATTATTGTGCATAGTGATCAAACTTAATAATGTATAAGAAACATACTAATGTATAAGAATAGCAGACTGCCATCTGTTTTTTTTTTATTACAGAACCAGTCATGTTTATTCAGGACAAAAACTGTTTGATTTTAAAAAAGGACAAATTGTTTGGACTTTCAAAGGACATTATGGACAAAGAGACTGTGCTCATGGATTCAATTAGAGAGGACATTATTTCATGGACTAAATCAAATCTATTTTACTTTCTGGTTAATGTAAAATGTGTACAATTGCACGGTATAATAACAATGATTCTGTTATTAATGATGTTAGGTACAATCAATGCCAAGGGTTAATTAATTAATTTGTGGAAAAAATTCAAAGTCTAGATCCAACTACAATTGTAATTGCTAAAAAAAAAAAGAACTTTCTTATTAGATAAAGGTGGGAGTCCAGACATGAAGGTGTTAAATTGCTTGTGAAATTAGGAATACACAGGTATTTTGAATTAGTATGATCCATACTCTAAAACCTCCAATTATCATCATTTAAAGGTAAACCTCACAGCATTAAATATTCATTTCAACTCTTTGATATTGTTTATGTTTGTTGAATATCCAATTATTGTTTTAGTAACCTTTATCTTAATTTGGCAGTAAATAAAAGAAAGAGTGCTTTGTGCACTGATTTCTCCTTTCCTGTTCCTTTATTTCTACCAAGTTGTATATTGTGATTTGCTAGCTTAAAAGGGAGAACATGACAATCAGTTACAAGTGTTTATACTTGATATAGAAAGTCTGAGGGAGAGTATGACATGAAAATAAGCTGCACTATAGAATGAGGATAAACTGCTACTCCGTACAAAGAAACAATAGTAGTACTATAAAAAATAAATATAATAAAAATAAGAATAAACCATCATAGACAGAAACTACCTGTAGTTACTCCTCTGTGGTAACATATGAGCAATTAAAATAGCCATTTGATAATCAGATATTAGCTAATAGCAGTCAATTGGACCTCACAAGTCCATGATATGGACGTCATAAGGTTGAGCATCTATGAAACTGCAGGAATATTGCAAAGTACGGGCACAAACAAGGTCAATTGAGTTATCTTCTCCATATCCCCTCAATGGGGAGATCTGGTTGTAACCCCTCCAGGATTATTAGTGTACAGAGGAGTCCTTAGTCTTCTTAGGAAAGCATTCACTTCTGACAAGTACCTAATATAATGAATGGCATCCTCATGTGTGATCATGGGAAGTTTAGAATGTGATGCCTTAGGGTCTCAGACTTATGGTCATGCTTCAATAATTGTCTCCAGGCCAGAGTGATTTGTCTCAATTTAAATGTTAGCAAATTAAATGTTTCAAAAGAATATCCTGACTGTTCTTAGACAGTCAGAAATTGTACAAATACATAACTCAATGTCTCTATGTATGAATTTCATTTATACTAGTATGTGAAAAAAACCCATTAATGCTAGTGGAGTTGTTTATGAGATAAATAGAAATACAAGAAATGTACTGGCGCTATAACAAAATATAATACTCTCTAGTCCAAAAACTACTAAACAAGCTGCTATAACACCTAGATGTAATCTTTCTTAATTACATCAATATGAAAGGAGATACAAAAAAGGAAATAGGTGTAGCGCTATATACATACATATAATAATGTAGAACCTAATAGGTTGACAAGGCGTCCTGATGAAAGCAATTCCAATACTTAATATAATCGACCTAAAACAAAAAAAGAACTCCAATAGTGTAACACCGTAAATATAGATGTAATAAAAGTCAGATATAGCGATAAACTCACATTCTCCTGAGCTTGGCTATAAGCTCAGGAGAATGCGAGTTTATCGCTATATCTGACTTTTATTACATCTATATTTACGGTGTTACACTATTGGAGTTCTTTTTTTGTTTTAGGTCGATTATAATAAGTATTGGAATTGCTTTCATCAGGACGCCTTGTCAACCTATTAGGTTCTACATTATTATATGTATGTATATAGCGCTACACCTATTTCCTTTTTTGTTTATGAGATAAAACAGTTCAAAATAGGCATGGAATAAAATTTGTCCATTCTTCCAAAAAATATTCCTCTTGTACCCCACACATTTTTAAACAACCCACATTCTCCAACAGGCACGCCCTGTGATGGATGAAAGTGAACAGATTTCAGATTTGCCTTTTCCAGATATCACCACAGTCCTTTAATGTTGCCTGTTGTCCCGCAGAAGGGCTTTAATTTCCCTATTGTATTTGGTCTTCCTTATTATCCTTTAGCATGATGACAACTATGTTGTGGTAGGTGATTAGACGGATCCCACCCAAGAAGAACTTCTCTTTTGACTTAATGTGCCATTTTAAGTACAAGGTGGCTGCATAAGCATAATATCTATAAGTTGTGAACTAGGGTAAGGATCTGATACCCTGTTAAACCCATTCCCCAACCTTTCAAGTTAATATGTAAGCTTCTGAAAACAGATAAATACAGGTAAATGTGTTTTTTTGCTGCCAAAATACTGAGAAACTTGGATCCCAAACAATACCTGGTCTGCTGGAAATTACCTCCACCCACCTACATGTAGTTTTAGAGGTTACAATACTGTTTAATTAGTATTATCTTGTAAAAGTCGGTGGCTACTAAATGTTGCCTTGTTTTCTCATTTTTTTATGTTTATTTATTACATTCAAAGCATGTGCTTTTGCATAAACATACATTTGCTATGACAAATCTTACTCTGCAGCTTGAAGTTTCAACAGTCTAACTTAGCTTAATTAAGGAAATTAGAAATGATGATAGCTCACAAAAACGATCTCCACATTGAACATGTTAAATTAAATATGAACATGTACATAAATGGATCTTTCAGATATGTGAAGCCTTAGAATCAGTGAATGTTATGTGTTGTTGAATGCTTATTCAAATATAGCAGTTTCTGTAGAGGCTTAACATGTGAAGCGTAAAAGTTTGTAGTTAGATGTACAGGTCTTTCATCATATTTCTTCCATTACTCTAACTCACAAAGAATCCCTATTACCTTTGACCTATACATATAGGACATATACACAAATATATAAATATAAATTTATATTTGTATAAGAATGTACTATATTCTGCAAAGAAAGCATTAAAAAAAAAATGTCATACTAGAACACAACACCATAGGATATTATTTGATACATGACAGAGTTGTTGAAATAATGTTTTCATTCTTCATTTAAGAAATACTATTACTTTTTTGGGTCAAAACCACCTTCAGTAAAAAAAGCTATAAGTATTTTGTCTGTCACAACTTCAACTTCCTTAGGGACTATATCTAAAAAATAATATAATTCACTTTATTACATACTCATTATTTGTTTTTATAGGAACCACTGTTATATTAATAATTTATTTACTGAACTGTGGTTTAAAATAAGTGTTTGCATTTTGCATGTAAAGTAAAAGGTATAAATCCACAACTTAAATAGAAAATGAAGAAAACATAGACCTTAAAGATAATTTTTGAAGCTTTTATTATATTCTTAATGACATGCTGATTTAGTAATAAATACAACTTATTAGAAATGGTGAAGTCTCCTGAATGAGCCAATTCTTGGGCTCATGGCACCCCAGTCAGTATATCTTCTGTACTCTCCAGGTCTCAGGTAATACTGGCGTCCTTTGTAATTTGGTTCCTCATAGAACATCCAGTAGCCATCAATCACCTGGCAGGAGTGGATGTCATGGTAACGGAATCTCTCATTGACATTAGGACAATCTTCAGTGAACTCCATCATCTGACCTCGGAAATCCTCCCTCTCATAGACCTTTACTCTGAATGATCCATGGTGCTTTACGAAGAAAAAATTATTTATAAACAAGAGTAAAATAATTGTATAATTGCATGTAAACATCAAAAATCTATACGGGAATATATATATATATATATATATATATATATATATATATATATATATATTTTATCCATGTTAACCCACCTGTTACCTGACAATGGAATTGTGAATTGAAGATATATTCCATAAAATAATGAATAATAGTCAAAAAAGGTCATATTTGCAAAGGTAAACCTATAATAATAGGACAATAATGTTTTTTTGTACTGCATCATATTTATGTAAGGTTCTTAACTATTTTGGTAAATATCTTTACCTCTGGGCTAATACGACAAGATCTGATGGAGTCATTGAAACCCATCCATTGCTGGAAATTATGATATTCTCCCCTGCTAAGGTAATACTGGTGTCCTCTATAGTTGGGGTGCTCATACAGAATCCAGTTTCCACTTTCCACTCGGATGGAATTACAGCGCTGAAAATATGAGGACATATCTGGACACTCAGAGTTGCACTCATAAGAGCGGCCCTGGAAGTTACGATCCTCGTAGAAGACAATCTGTGAAACAACCATGCATTTGAACATTTTAGATTTTTTAGTTTATTATTGTTTTAGTGGTTAATAATTTCATTTAAAAAATAGTTTCTGGTTTGATTACTTGATGCTATAGATTCCTAAAAACATCTACTATTATCCTGTTCAAATAATAAAGTGTAGGTGTTAAACATATAAGTTTAGGACCGAATTGGAATATATGTTTTTGGTACATCTTGTGTTTTTTTAGATTGGTGAACTTGCATTCACTTTCACATAATTATAGCAATTTATTACGGTTAATAGTGGCATTCACTAGAAAGTACTTTAAAAAACTGAAAAAAATCTTAATCTTGAGTCTGAAAAAAGTAAACATGTGAAGCATGTGTTCTGATGAATTTGTATTTGATGAGGCGGCAAATGTCCAAAACTAGTTTATGGAATATTATGTTGTCATGTTTCTGGCCTAGATAAACTCACCAGGATATATTGTATAGGATAGGATATATTGTATAGGATAAAGTTTGCTGACATTCAGTGTAAGCATTTAAAATTTTAATTTGTTTTGGTTTATTTAAAAAAAAACAAAAAACTGTTTATTGTTTCCAAAATTTCTTGTGTTCCAAATATTTACAATATTCAGATCATCTTACCTTTCCCATTTTCAGTGATGGTTGATCTGCTCATGCAAGTTGTGCTGTTGCACAGAATGAAGAGCCTTTATATACTGTTTACCTTGCTGATGCTGAAAACAGTACTGAGCTTGTTTCTTTTCATCAGTAATTAGAATGTATAGCTATTGTATACTCTGCTTCAGTATAGCTATTGTATTGTATCCTATATGCTTTTTTGTTTACCTGCTGGCACAAGCATTTCCTGGTTCTAAGGGAGATCTAGAGAAAATGTGACAGGCCTTTTTTTTAACTAGATTATTTCTATTCCTACTGAGGAAAAAACTATTTTAAAGCATATTTTACAAAAAGAAAAGAAAAAAGGTTTGACATCATTGCCAATTGTTTTGCAAGTTAAGTTCAGTTTTTTAAGATATAAGTGTTATTATTATTATTATTATTATGTTAAATTATATATATTATATTGTGTGACATGTAATTTGAAACTAAAGTACATTCATGTTAGTTTTACCAGTCAAATGCATCAGTTATAATCACAGCCATTTATTCCTCCCATTACACCTACTGTTTTTGTGTATTTTCAACGTTATCACAATCCAAAACATTTGAACTATTAAAAATAAAGTTACATCTCGGCTTATCTCTTATTGGTATTCACATTATCTCATGATCATGGAATTAACAACAAAGTAAATGTGGTTACATCAAATATTGAATGTTATTATTCTTAATAATCTTTATTTTGTTTCCACAGTAATAAAATTACATCCACACTTTTGCATGCATAGACATTTACAAACAAAACACAATAACACACCAGAAACAGTTGAGAGGAGAGAAGAGTTCTATAATAGAAGCATGTACCTATCCTATGCAAATTATAGACTAGATTATTATAAAAATAACTCTCTTTTAACTATTAGAGCTGAAAAACGTAAATGCTTTTTGAAGACAACATTCTCGTATTCTTTTGTTTTTAGCTGATGAGTTATTAATCCAACTTAGTCTGTTTTTCATCTTAAATTGGAAAATAATTTGATCTTTCCTTTGGGAATACATAATTTCGTGGGATTGTTTCTAAAGTTCACCCTTTTAAAAAAACTATAGCTCCCCTGCCACCTTTGATTTCCTCTCTGACACAATCAAGATCCCTTTCAGTAAAACTATCATTGTTGCAGGAATTTAACGCCCACCTAGCTTCCGAGTGCATTACTTTTAGACATAGCCCAATTCCTTTGTGAAACTGTAGCTCAAAACCAAAAAAGTGAACTGTTGATTTTTGGAGATGTTAAGAATGATTTGCTGAATCCTAAAAATAATAAATCATGTTGCAGCTAACACAATTAATTTCCTCCCCAACGCTCATTAAGATGATAAGCCATAACCATACCTTGCTACATCAGATTCTATTCAGTTGTCCTGATAGAATCCAGTAGGTGGTAGTTCTCACTAACAGATTCAGTGACCACTGTTTAGTGTACTGAATACGCAAAATAAAGGCCACTAAATCCTCTACCAAGATTATAATCACAAGGGATTTCAAGAAATGCAATCTTCAATCCTTTTTAAACAATCACAAGTACCAACCACGGCACAGATTATGTCTAATTCCAGATCTAGACTCTGCAATTGAATTTTTTCAGTCTAAACCCTTGCATGTTTAGAATTTGCATGTCCCACTGCGTAGAGTGTGAATAAAAGGAACACACCTGCACTGGGTTATGAAATATATTTATTGAAATTTAAATATGTGATGTGTTGTAGGATTTTATCTTTGTGATATGAATATTATAAGTTTTGTATTAGTTGAAATTAATTTCATTTTAAAATACTTTCAGACACAAGAACTGAGAGATCCTATTTATTTGTTTACCAATGTTCACCACATATGGTTCTTGTTGAGATAATGATTGATGAAAGCCTGTTGATATTACCTTTTGACCTAGTATTGCAAGCAAGACTCCCATGTGTATTAGGAAGTTTCTTTTTGAAGAAATTAATTTAATCATGTAAACAGTAAGACCTTCGTGTAAATTATATTTTACCCCCCAAGTATAACCATTTGTATAAAACACAAAATGGAGAAATAAAGTAAACAGAGTGCAGGTCAGGAGTCCGGATACAAGTCAAGGGCTCATGAGCTGCACCACTGTAACCACCTAATACGGAGCTCCAATGAGGACACTAGGGGAACTGGAACGTAGATGCTAGTTAGTACTCCAGACAATTGATTCCCTGGGCACCATTTAGTATGTCTCCCTTTTTTCAAGTTATACTTTTTGTTTGCATATCCCTTTTTATCCTTAGATTGATTAAAGGTATGGCCCCCCTTCCTCATTTCTTAAACTGTGGTGTTCTCCTGATGTTAGTTTCCCCTTGTGGGACTCTATACATCACCTAACCCTACTTCCTAACTATTTGTATAATGTCTGGCTCTAATCAGAGATTGGACAGAATGGTTAAGCCACAACCTTTTTCTATGATGGCCACATATTTTAAAGTGTCAGGTAACGCCTCGTAAATAACTGAATTTTAGACATATAAAAACATTTACAGTTAGAAATTCCTCACAAATACTTATAACAACAAAAATGAATACTATCTTGCAGTGCTTACACATTGCTGTATTGGTCCAGATGTTTGCAAATATTTTGTGTTATTTTCTCATGGTGTGTATGTTTGAATAAATATACATTTTTGGCTGCAATACAATCTGATTTGATTATTGGAACTTTGGTGTGACAAACATCTCAGGAACAGCTAATTTCCTACATTTAATGATGGAGAATGCGGGCAGGATTTAAGTCTGTACAGAAAAACTGTTTAAGATCCTGCAAACTAAATGGTATCATCCTAATTTAAAAGAATGATGTATACATATAGTACAGGAGTGTCTCATATGTGCTCAATTTAATCCAAGACCTAAAGACTAGAAACCAAAGTTACAGAGAGTATCTGTGGCAAAATGACCATGGAACTCTATTTAAATTGTTTTACATTAACATTTAAATTGTAAAATAAACGCTTGTAGTTAAAGGGAGTAGTTGGGTAACACATTTACTAGGAGTATTAATGTATATTCGTGCAACTCCAAACTCTAAAACGCAAGTGTCACCTCATGAGTTAATGACAGGCAGAACAATGCCAATCACTTTCCCCAATGAACCTTTTGTTCCAAGTACTTTCAAATTTGCATCAGGACATGCTGAATAGTTGAAAGTATTACAGGAACAGCTGCAATCAGTTTTAAAATGTGCTGCTTCAAATATTGTCTCTTCTGGTAAACAATTTGTTAAAGGGATACTGTAGTGCCAGGAATACAAAGCTCTATTCCTGGCACTACCGATTCCTCTACCTCCCCCTTGCCCTGTACCCCCTTCCCTACTAAATGTAGGGTTAAAAACCCTTTATTTACTTAACTTATCCCAGTGCCGATATTCCTCGGTGCTGTGTGAAAGATCCGCCCCCTCCTCCACCCCGCGACAAGCAGGGTCTAATGCGCATGTGCGGCAAACGCCGCATGCACATTAGACCTCCCCTTAGGAAAGCATTGAATCAGTGCTTTGTTATGGGGAAAATCTGACGTCCCAATGTAGAGCGTGAGGACGTCCAGCGTTAGATAATGGACCAAAAGTCTGTTACGGTTCTGGAAGCGCCCCCAGTTGCTCTCTGTTAGACAGCCACTGAGGGCAGACCTAGAGCTGCAATATAAACATTGCAGTTCTTTATTGTGATTTGCTAGCTTAACCCCTTATTTTAGGTGGCTCTAAACGCCGCCGGGCGTAATAGTACGTCCTCCGGTCTTTCTATACTTACCCGGTCGCCGGCGATCCCACGCCGGCGATACCACACTGGCGATCGCAGTTGGGGGGACACCCAGGGAGCCCCCGCCGCCCGTCCGACCTCCTGGCAGCCCCCCCAGCCATGTGAGAGTGAGGTCCTTGCGAGGACCTCACAATCACAAGGCAGGGTTAGCTGCCTCCTGCATTGCCAGCAGTGGGGCTGCTTGTAATGACAAGTGGTCCCCCTGCTGGCTGGAAATCAAATTAAATTAAATTAATAAAAGTTAAATAAGTGTAAAAAAAAAAATATATACTTAGATCATATATATTGTATATATATGATCTAAGTATATATATATACACATATACATACACACACATACACTGTCTAGGTGTATTTTACTATTAATATATATATAATTATATATATATATATTAATATCAAATTACATGTAGACTGATACTGATTAAATATATATATAATTATTGTTTTATATATATATATATATATATATAATATAAAAAAAATTAATTTGTAAATACGTTAAAAAATTTAATTAAAAAAATTATTTAAAAAAATTATTAAAAAATATATAGATGTGTGTTATTTCGTTCTAACTGTATTGTGATATTAATATATATATATTTATATCAAAATACACATAGAACGAAATAATATATATATATCTATATACATAAATATATATGTATATATCACTATATATATACCTATATATAAATTAAAAATATTTAAAAAAAATTATATATACATATATACATATATATTCACATACGTATATATATATATATATATATATATATACATATATTAATTCTACATATATATTTATATAATATTTTTACATAATTAGGTATCTTAAATAATTACAATTAGCGGGAACTGCCTGACAACCCATGCCGAAAGCAAAAGGGAATTTAATTTGCTAGCACTATATTTAACCCTATAACTTTCCAAGACACCATAAAACCTGTACATGGGGGTACTGTTCTACTCGGGAGACTTCGCCGAACACAAATATTAGTGTTTCAAAACAGTAAAATGTATTACAACGATGATATCGCCAGTAAAAGTGAAGTTTTTTGCATTTTTCACGCACAAACAGCACTTACACGGACGATATTATTGCTGCGATACTTTTTACTGTTTTCAAACACAAATATTTGTGTTCAGCGAAGTCTCCCGAGTACAACAGTACCCCTCATGTACAGGTTTTATGGTGTTTTCAAAAGTTACAGCATCAAATATTAGGCTTGTGTTTCATTTTTTTCACAATAAAATTCGCCAGATTGGTTACGTTGCCTTTGAGACCCTATGGTAGCCCAAGAATGAAAATTACCCCTATGATGGCATACCATTTGCAATAGTAGACAACCCAAGGTATTGCAAACGAGGTATGTCCAGTCTTTTTTAGTAGCCACTTAGTCACAAACACTGGCCAAAATTGGCGTGTTTTGCATTTTTCACACACAAACAAATACTAACGCTAACTTTGGCCAGTGTTTGTGACAAAATGGCTACTAAAAAAGACTGGACATACCCCATTTGCAATACCTTGGGTTGTCTTCTATTGCAAATGATATGCCATTATGGGTGTAAATTTCTTTCCTGGGCTACTATTAAGTCCCAAAGGCAACGTAACCAATCTGGCAAATTTCAATTTCAAATGTAACGTGCTATATTTGACCCTGTAACTTCCCAAAACGCCATAAACCCTGTATATAGGGGGTACTGTTTTACACGTGAGACTTTGCTGAATTCAAATATGTGTATTTTATTGCAGTAAAAGTAAACAGTATTATGACATTGACCGTTAAAATGTCATGTAGAACTAAAAAAATCAGAAAAAAATCGTATTTTCTCCCATTATTTTCATATTAAATTATGTTTCATAGCTAAATATTTGATATTAAATGAAAGCCCTGTTTCACCTGAATAAAATGATATATAATAAGGGTGGGTGTATTTAATATGAAAGAGATGAATTACGGTTGGACAGACATGTAGAGCAAATGCCAGGTTTTGTTTACATTTTGTTTTGTTCACAACGTGTACATTTGGCTCCGTCCTTAAGGGGTTAAAAGGGAGAACTTGACAATCAGTTACAAGTGTTTATACTTGATATAGAAAGTCTGAGGGAGAGTATGACATGAAAATAAGCTGCACTACAGAATGAGGATAAACTGCTACTCAGTACAAAGAAACAATAGTAGTACTATAAAAAATAAATATAATAAAAATAAGAATAAACCATCATAGACAGAAACTACCTGTAGTTACTCCTCTGTGGTAACATATGATCAATTAAAATAGCCATTTGATAATCAGATATTAGCTAATAGCAGTCAATTGGATCTCACAAGTCCGTCAAATGGACGTCATAAGGTTGAGCATCTATGAAACTGCAGGAATATTGCAAAGTACGGGCACAAACAAGGTCAATTGAGTTATCTTCTCCATATCCCCTCAATGGGGAGATCTGGTTGTAACCCCTCCAGGATTATTAGTGTACAAAGGAGTCTCTAGTCTTCTTAGGAAAGCATTCACTTCTGACAAGTACCTAATATAATGTATGGCATCCTCATGTATGATCATGGGAAGTTTAGAATGTGATGCCTTAGGGTCTCAGACTTATGGTCATGCTTCAATAATTGTCTCAAGGTCAGAGTGATTTGTGTCAAATTAAATGTTAGCAAATGGGTTTCAAAAGAATATCCTGACTGTTCTTAGACAGTCAGGAATTGTACAAATACATAACTCAAAGTCTCTATGTAAGAATTTCAGTGGCTTAAGAAACTTATACTAGTATGTGAAAAAATCCATTAATGCTAGTGGAGTTTGTTTGTTTGTTTATGAGATAAAACAGTTCATAATAGGCATGAAATAAAATGTGTTCATTCTTCCAAAAAAATTCCTCTTGTACCCCACACATTTTTTAAACAACCCACATTCTCCACCAGGCATACCCTGTGATGGATGAAAGTGAACAGATTTGATATTTGCCTTTTCCAGATATCACCACAGTCCTTCAATGTTGCCTGTTGTCCCGCAGTAGGGCTTTAATTTCCCTTTTGTATTTGGTCTTCCTTATTATCCATTAGCATGATGGCAACTATGTTGTGGTAGGTGATTAGATGGATCCCGCCCAAGAAGAACTTCTCTTTTGACTTAATGTGCCATTTTAAGCACAAGGCGGCTGCATAAGCATAATATCTATAAGTTGTGAGCTTGGGTCAGGATCTGATACCGCTGTTAAGAGCATTCCCCAATCCTGTCAAGTTAATATTTAAGCTTGTGAAAACAGATAAATACAGGTAAATGTGTTTTTTGCTGCCAAAATACTGAGAATCTTGGATCCCAAACAATATCTGGTCTGCTGGAAATTACCCCCACCCACCTACATGTAATTTTAGAGGTTACAATACTGTTTAATTAGTATTATCTTGTAAAAGTCGGTGGTTACTAAATGTTGCCTTGTTTTGTCATTTTTTTATGTTTATTTCTTACATTCAAAGCATGTGCTTTTGCATAAACATAAATCTGCTATGACAAATCTTACTCTGCAGCTTGAAGTTTCAACAGTCTAACTTAGCTTAATTAAGGAAATTAGAAATGATGATAGCTCACAAAAACGATCTCCACATTGAACATGTTCCATTAAATATGAACATGTACATAAATGGATCTTTCAGATATGTGATTCCTTAGAATCAGTGAATGTTCTGTGTTGTTGAATGCTTATTCAAATTCAGCAGTTTTTGTAGAGTCTTAACATGTGAAGCGTAAAAGGTTGTGGTTGGATGTCCAGTTCTTTCATCATATTTCTTCCATTATTCTAACTCACAAAGAATCCCTATTACCGTTGACCTATACATATAGGACATATACACAAATATATAAATATAAATATATATTTGTCTAAGAATGTACTATATTCTGCAAAGAAAGCATTAAAAAAAGTCATACCAGAAAACAACACGTATATATTATTTGATACATGACAGAGTTGTTGAAAGAATGTTTTCATTCTTCTTTTAAGAAATACTATTACTTTTTTTGTTCAAACCACCTTCAGTAAAAAAAGCTATAAGTAATTTGTCTGTCACAACTTTAACTTCCTGAGGGATTATATCTAAAAAATAATATAATTCCCCTTATTACGTACTCATTATTTGTTTTTATAGGAACCACTGTTATATTAATAATTTATTTACTGAACTGTGGTTTAAAATAAGTGTTTGCATTTTGCATGTAAAGTAAAAGGTATAAAACCACAACTTAAATAGAAAATGAAAAAAATATAGACCTTAAAGATATTTTTTGAAGCTTTTATTATATTCTTAATGATATGCTGATTTAGTAATAAATACAACTTATTAGAAATGATGAAGTCTCCTGAATGAGCCAATTCTTGGGCTCATGGCACCCCAGTCAGTATATCTTTTGTACTCTCCAGGTCTCAGGTAATACTGGCGTCCTTTGTAATTTGGTTCCTCATAGAACATCCAGTAGCCATCAATCACCTGGCAGGAGTGGATGTCATGGTAACGGAATCTCTCATTGACATTAACACAATCTTCAGTGAACTCCATCATCTGACCTCGGAAATCCTCCCTCTCATAGACCTTTACTCTGAATGATCCATGGTGCTTTACGAAGAAAAAAATATTTATAAACAAGAGTAAAATAATTGTATAATTGCATGTAAACATCAAAAATCTATACGGGAATATATATATATTTTTTTTTATCCATGTTAACCCACCTGTTACCTGACAATGGAATTGTGAATTGAAGATATATTCCATAAAATAATGAATAGTAGTCAAAAAAGGTCATATTTGCAAAGGTAAACCTATAATAATTGATAATTGGAAAATAATGTTTTTTTGTACTGCATCATATTTATGTAAGGTTCTTAACTATTTTGGTAAATATCTTTACCTGTGGGCTAATACGACAAGATCTGATGGAGTCATTGAAACCCATCCATTGCTGGAAATTAGGATATTCTCCCCTGCTAAGGTAATACTGGTGTCCTCTATAGTTGGGGTGCTCATACAGAATCCAGTTTCCACTTTCCACTCGGATGGAATTACAGCGCTGAAAATATGAGGACATATCTGGACACTCAGAGTTGCACTCATAAGAGCGGCCGTGGAAGTTACGATCCTCGTAGAAGACAATCTGTGAAACAACCATGCATTTGAACATTTTAGATTTTTTAGTTTATTATTGTTTTAGTGGTTAATAATTTCATTTAAAAAATAGTTACTGGTTTGATTACTTGATGCTATAGATTCCTAAAAACATCCACTATTATCCTGTTCAAATAATAAAGTGTAGGTGTTAAACATCTAAGTTTAGGACCGAATTGGAATATATGTTTTTGGTACATTTTGTGTTTTTTTAGATTGGTGAACTTGCATTCACTTTCACATAATTATAGCAATTTATTACGGTTAATAGTGGCATTCACTAGAAAGTACTTTCAAAAACTGAAAAAATCTTAATCTTGAGTCTGAAAAAAGTAAACATGTGAAGCATGTGTTCTGATGAATTTGTATTTGATGAGGCGGCAAATGTCCAAAACTAGTTTATGGAATATTATGTTGTCATGTTTCTGGCCTAGATAAACTCACCACAGTATATTGGATAGGATAGGATATATTGTATAGGATAAAGTTTGCTGGCATTCAGTGTAAGCATTTCAAATTTGAATTTGTTTGGTTCATTTTAAAAAAAGAAATATGTTTATTGTTTCCAAAATTTCTTGTGTTGCAAATATTTACAATATTCAGATCATCTTACCTTTCCCATTTTCAGTGATGGTTGATCTGCTCATGCAAGTTGTGCTGTTACACAGAATGAAGAGCCTTTATATACTGTTTACCTTGCTGATGCTGAAAACAGTACTGAGCTGGTTTCTTTTCATCAGTAATTAGAATGTATAGCTATTGAATACTGTGCTTCATTATAGCTATTGTATTGTATCCTATATGCTTTTTTGTTTACCTGCTGGCACAAGCAGTTCCTGGTTCTAAGGGAGATCTAGAATAAATGTGACAGGCCTTTTTTTTCACTAGATTATTTCTATTCCTATTGAGGAAAAAACTATTTTAAAGCATATTTTACAAAAAGAAAAGAAAAAAAAGGTTTGACATCATTGCCAGTTGTTCTGCAACTTGTTTAAGTTCTGTTTTTTAAGATATTATTATTATTATTATTATTATGTTAAATTATATATATTATATTGTGTGACATGTAATTTGAAACTAAAGTACATTCATGTTAGTTTTACCAGTAAAATTCATCAGTTATAATCACAGCCATTTATTCATCCCATTACACCTCCTGAACTCAGGCTAGAATTGTGTTTTTGTGTATTTTCAACGTTATCACAATCCAAAACATTTGAACTATTAAAAATAAAGTTACATCTCGGCTTATCTCTTATTGGTATTCATGTTATCTCATGATCTTGAATTAAGAACAAAGTAAATAGTGCTCTTTGTGGTTACATAAAATATTGAATGTTATTATTCTTAATAATCTTTATTTTGTTTCCACAGTAATTAATTACATCCACACTTTTGCATGCATAGACATTTACAAACAAAACACAATAACACACCAGAAACAGTTGAGAGGAGAGAAGACTGAGTTCTATAATAGAAGCATGTACCTATCCTATGCAATTTATAGATTAGATTATTATAAAAATAACTCTCTTTTAATTATTAGCTGAAAAACGTAAATACTTTTTGAAGACAACATTCTCGTATTCTTTTGTTTTTAGCTTATGAGTTATTAATCCAACTTAGTCTGTTTTTCATCTTAAATTGGAAAATAATTTGATCTTTCCTTTGGGAATGCATAATTTCTTGTGATTGTATCTAAAGTTCACCCTTTAAAAAAAAAAAAAAAAAACCTATAGCTCCCCTGCCACCCTTGATTTCCTCTCTGACACAATCAAGATCCCTTTCAGTAAAACTATCATTGTTGCAGGAATTTAATGTCCACCTAGCTTCCGAGTGCATTACTTTAAGACATAGCCCAATTCCTTTGTGAAACTGTAGCTCAAAACCAAAAAAGTGAACTGTTGATTTTTGGAGATGTTAATAATGATTTGCTGAATCCTAAAAATAATAAATCATGTTGCAGTTAACACAATTAATTTCCTCCCCAACGCTCATTAAGATGATAAGCCATAACCATACCTTGCTACATCAGATTATATCCAGTTGTCCTGATAGAATCCAGTAGGTGGTAGTTCTCACTAACAGTTTCAGTGACCACTGTTTAGTGTACTGAATACGCAAAATAAAGGCCACTAAATTCTCTACCAAGATTATAATCACCAGGGATTTCAAGAAATGTAATCTTCAATCCTTTCTAAACAATCTCAAGTACCAACCACGGCACAGATTATGTCTAATTCCAGATCTAGACTCTGCAATTGAATTTTTTCAGTCCAAAACCTTGCATGTTTAGAATTTGCATGTCCCACTGCATAGAGTGTGAATAAAAGGGGAACACCTGCACTGGGTTATGAAATATATTTATTAAATTTTAAATATCTGATGTGTTGTAGGATTTTATCTTTGTGATATGAATATAATAAGTTTTGTATTAGTTGAAATTAATTTCATTTTAAAATACTTTCAGACACAAGAACTGAGAGATCCTATGTATTTGTTTACCAATGTTCACCACATATGGTTCTGGTTGAGATAATGATTGATGAAAGCCTGTTGATATTACCTTTTGACCTAGTATTGCAAGCAAGACTTCCATGTGTTTTAGGAAGTTTCTTTTTGAAGAAATTCATTTAATCATGTAAACAAAAAGACCTTTGTGTAAATTATATTTTACCCCCCAAGTATAACCATTTGTATAAAACACAAAATGGAGAAATAAAGTAAACAGAGTGCAGGTCAGGAGTCCGGATACAAGTCAAGAGCTCATGAGCTGCACCACTATAACCACCTAATAGGGAGCTCCAATGAGGACACTAGGGGAACTGAACGTAGATGCTAGTTAGTACTCCAGACAATTGATCCCCTGGGCACCATTTAGTATGTCTCCCTTTTTTCAAGTTATACTTTCTGTTTGCATATCCCTTTTTATCCTTAGATTGATTAAAGGTAGGGCCCCCCTTCCTCATTTCTTAAACAGTGGCGCTCTCCTGATGTTAGTTTCCCCTTGTGGGACTCTATACATCACCTACCCCTATTTCCTAACCATTTTTATAATGTCTGGCTCTAATCAGAGATTGGACAGAATGGTTAAGCCACAACCTTTTTCTATGATGGCCACATATTTTAAAGTGTCAGGTAATCTTATGTGTACGCCTCGTAAGTAACTGAATTTTAGACATATAAAAACATTTACAGTTAGAAATTCCTCACCAATACTTATAACAACAAAAATGAATACTATCTTGAAGTGCTTACACATTGCTGTATTGGTCCAGATGTGTGCAAAGACTTTGTGTTATTTTCTCATGGTGTGTATGTTTGAATAAATATACATTTTTAGCTGCAATACAATCTGATTTGATTATTGGAACTTTGGTGTGACAAACATCTCAGGAACAGCTGCTATCAGTTTTAAAATTTGCTGCTTCAAATATTGTCTCTTCTGGTAAACAAAGGGTTAAAGGGATACTGTAGTGCCATGAATACAAAACTGTATTCCTGGCACTACCGATCCCTCTACCTCCCCCTTGCCCTGCGCCCCCTTCACTAGTAAATAGAGGGTTAAAAACCCTTTATTTACTTAACTTATCCCAGTGACGATATTACTCGGTGCTGTGTGGAAGCTCCGCGCCCTCCTTCACCCTGCGACAAACAGGGTCTAATGCGCATGCGTGGCAAACCCCGCTTAGGAAAGCATTGAATCAATGCTTTGTTATGCGGAAAATCTGACGTCCTCATGTAGAGCATGAGGACGTCCAATGTTAGATAATGGACCAAACGTCTGTTACGATTCTGGAAGCGCCCCCAGTTGCTGTCTGGTAGACAGCCACTGAGGGCAGACCTAGTGCTGCAATATAAACATTGCAGTTCTCTGGAACTGCAGTGTTTAACATTGTAGCACTATGTTCAAAAGGGAAAAAGCACCTAGACGACCTCAATAAGCTGAAGTGGTCTGGGTGCCTACAGTGTCCCTTTAAATATGTAGCACTGGGAAACTATGCATATACGTTTAAACTAGAGAATAAGGTGATGGTAAAATCATTGAAAACACCAGGTCCCTTCAAAGCAAGTTGCAGATCCCTTGAAAGTAAGTAGGTTCAAACCCCCCTCACCCCCCCAAAAAAAACAAATGTTGGTAGAAAATGTAGTAAGTCAATTATTGTGCATAGTGATCAATGTAAACTTACTAATGTTTAAGAAACTTACTAATGTATAAAACTAGCAGACTGCCATCTGCTTTTTTTTATTACAGAACCAGTCATGTTTATTCAGGACAAAAAATGTTTGCTTTTTAAAAAGGACAAATTGTTTGGACTTTCAAAGGACATTATGGACAAAGAGACTGTGCTCATGGATTCAATTAGAGAGGACATTATTTAATGGACTAAATCAAATCTATTTTACTTTCTGGTTAATGTAAAATGTATACAATTGCATGGCATAATAACAATGATACTGTTATTAATGATGTTAAGTACAATCAATGCCCAGGGTTAATTAATTAATTTGTGGAAAAAATTCAAAGTCTAGATCCAACTACAAATGTAATTGCTAAAGAAAAAAGAACTTTGAGAGCAGTTGCTTTCTTATTAGATAAAGGTGGGAGTCCAGAAATGAAGGTGTTAAATGGCTTGTGAAATTAGGAATACACATGCATTTTGAATTAGTATGATCCGTAATCTAAAACCTCCAATTATCATCATTTAAAGGTAAACCTCACAGCATTAAATATTAATTTCAACTCTTTGATATTGTTTATGTTTGTTGAATATCCAATTATTGTTTTCGTAACCTTTATCTTAATTTGGCAGTAAATAAAAGAAAGAGGGCTTTCTGCACTGATTTCTCCTTTCCTGTTCCTTTATTTCTACCAAGTTGTATATTGTGATTTGCTAGCTTAAAAGGGAGAACATGACAATCAGTTACAAGTGTTTATACTTGATACAGAAAGTCTGAGGGAGAGTATGACATGAAAATAAGCTGCACTATAGAATGAGGATAAACTGCATCTCAGTACAAAGAAACAATAGTAGTACTGTAAAAAATAAATATAGGGGGGCAGGGCCCGACCGCCATGCTGAGAGGTCACACACAAGGCGAGCTCCTGCAGAAAAACGACCTTAAAGCTTGTAAAACACACAAAACTACTTATCTGCAGTCTGGAAGCAACGGTCCTGTGGGCAAAGAGGGGCTGGTGCTGAGGCCAACCAGACCACAAGCGATTTGACCTCGGAAAAGGCACAGCCACATCTGGGGCCTATCCGGGCGGTGAGTGAGGTGGACAGCCGCCACCTCGCTATCCTACTCTGCGGTTTACCCTCGGAACTCTGACGCCACATGGTAGGGGCCCCGTATCACCCCCCTTTGGATCAGTGGGGGTCATCCCGGTCCCAGGAGACTGTTCCCGCAACCCTAGGCACCTGGAGCGAGGAAGACCCTCCATTAACAAAATGGCAGTCATGGCGGGCAAAACCGAAATGGCGGCAAAGCCAGAAACCTTCAAGGCTCAGCTGACTGAAAATCTTGGGGAAGCACGGATGATGGTGAGGCAGAGGGGTTCCCCAACACAAACGCACCTAAGCTTCCCGACCTGCAAACGGATCCAGCAGTGACGAACAGCCGGTGTCTGCTTCCTGACCCCTCACCACGCAACACTACCAACCCTGCCGCACAGACAGACACTCCTGTGCTCCAGCTATCTCCCATGGAGGAATGGGAAGCAGCAAGGGATTAAACACACTCAC